ATAGAAGTCATAAATGAATACAGCAGCAGCAAATGATTATTACCAAAAAAGTATTTTAGAAAACACTAATGAAGTTAATTGAAACAGAAGATCTAAAGCAGTAGTAATTTTCAAGACCTACATAGGTCTTCAAGGGATTACAAATCGCTTCATATAAAGTAGCAGTCATATCTAGGGAGTAAAAGGTTGTGATGGTAGTTTTTAATACAGGGTTATGGCAGCTTTGCAAAGAAACATTTTGACCAGAAGTTTTCAGCATGGAGCTTTTTTTATTCATTATTTAAACCCCCATTTTGTACAAATATTCTTGAACAGATTATAGGTCTTTATTTAAATATTAGCAATAAGTCCAGCACACAAATACATTGACTTAATCATTTCAAGACTAGAATCCTGTCATCGCAGTCAGTAACATCCGAATTATAAAAACATGTTAATAGAAGGGGCAAATAATTAATTTTAATGTTTCTATTAACAATGAATGTATAATGTAATAAACGCTAATCTAATAATGAGATTCCTGCATACTCAGAGATGCTAAATGCAAAGTAGAATATTTGTTTATTCAGTGAATTTATCCAATTATCTTCTCCTCTAAGATAGTCCTCTAGGCTTGTCTGCAATTAATAAGAAGATATAGGGATCTTCATTTCATCTAATTTAAACACCCATTTTATGAACAGGTTTGATCACCTCTCCCTATTACCTACAAAGTTTGAGACAGATGACTAAAATCAGATAGCATTAATCTCACCTCCAAATAAATTCTAAAATTCTGCCACAATTACGAAGAACAAAGAAAACACGGCTGAAAAAAGATTCAAATTATAAAGATTAATGGATAGAATAAAAGAAGTCTCCAAAATGTATACACAGCTTGCAGCTGACTGGAAAGAAAAGCATTAAATAGGTAAACACAAACATACAGAGAACTTTTCGCATTTTTTTTAAACCTATGAAGCACAAACAATTGCTATCAAGGAATGTAATTGACTTTTATTCTATTTTGCTTTTTATTTGAGAAAGGCATTTCTAAATAGAAACACTAAAAATACTCCTAAAGGTATGTTTACCTGTAGCAGATTGCCCATTACAAATCTAATACTTTTAAATAGCTGAGCTATATACGTCAATCCAGAGATATTTAAATAACAATCCAAAATCCTTTGAAATCTTTACAGAACAAACCTAAGGCTCTAAACTATTTTTCATAGTCATCACCCTGACTTTACTCAACCCAACTATAAAAACATTCCTTAAAAATGCCCTTTCATCATCTGTGAATATTAAAACAAGAAAAAAAAAAAGTACATACTTAAAAATATCCTATTACCTCATAGACA